GTAGAATTGCATTCCATAGGATTTTCAAGGCTGTGACCTTCCAAAAGCAAATTACCAGGGCTTCCTGTCAAGATGTCTCTGGGTGAGTTCATATACTGCCAACCTTTTGGTTAGTAGTTGACTGCTTAACCAGTTGCACCACCCAAGGACTCCAGTTGTTGTTCAGAGACTCCTTATTCTAGGAGGATTCTTCTTTTTTTTTTTTGTGATTTTATTGTTGTACTTTAAGTGAAAGTTTACAATTCTAGTTAGTCTCATACAAAAATTTACACACACAGTTATGTGATCCTAATTGTGCTCCCTATACTGTGACAGCACACTCCTCCTTTCCACCCTTAATCTCCCATGTGCATTCAGCCAGCTCCTGACCCTCTCTGCCTTCTCATCTCACCTCCAGACAGGAGCTGCCCATTAAGTCTCATGTATCTACTTGAGCTAAGAAGCACGCTCTTCACAAGTATCATTCTATGTCCCATAGTCCAGTTCAATCTTTGTCTGAAGAGTTGGCCTTGGGAATGGTTTTAGTTCTGGGTTGACAGAGAGTCCAGGGGCCATGCTCTCTGGGATTCCTCCAGTCTCAGTCAGACCATTAAGTCTGGTCTTTTTACTAGAATTTGAGTTGTGCACCCCATCTTTTTCCTGCTCCATCAGGGACTCTGTTGTGTTCCCTGTCAGAGCAGTCATTGGTGGTAGCTGGGCACCATCTTGTTCTTCTGGTCTCAGGCTGATGAAGTCTCTGGTTTATGTGGCCCTTTCTGTCTCTTGAGCTAATACTTTCCTTGTGTCTTTGGTGTTCTTTATTCTCCTTTACTCCAGGTGGGTTGGGACCAGTTAATGCATCTTATATGGCCCCTCACTAGCTTTTAAGACGCCAGATGCCACTCAACAAAGTAGGATGCAGAACATTTTCTTAACAAACTTTGTTATGCCAGTTGAGTTAGATGTCCCCCGAGAGCATGGTCCCCAGACCCCTGCCCCTGCTACTCTGTTCCTCAAAGTGTTTGGTTGTATTCAGGAAACTTCTTAGCTTTGGTTTAGTCCAGTTGTGCTGACTTACCCTGTAATGTATGCCGTCCTTCCTTTCACCTAAGATAATTCTTGTCTACTGTCTAGTGAGTGAATAACCCTCACTCTCCCTCCCCACCCTCGTAACCATCAAAGAATGTTTTCTTCTGTGTTTAAACCTTTTCTTGAGTTCTAGGAGGCTTCTTGTTTGTGTTTTCTCCTCCCTAAATCTTGGTTTTGGAGTCCCTGGGTGATGCAAACAGTTAACTGCTTGACTACTAACAGGAAGGTTGGAGGTTCAGAGTCACCCAGAGGCACCTTAGTAGAAAGGCCTGACGATCTGCTTCTGAAAGATGATAGCCTTGAAAACCCTGTGGAGCACAGTTCTGCCCTGCAGCACGTGAGTCAGAATTGACTTGATGGCAACTGTTTTTGAAGGTGATAATTGTTTGCATAGTCCAGACTGTTGTTGTTAGGTGCTGTCGAGTTGGTTCTGTTTCATAGCAACCCTATAGAACGAAGCAGAACTGCCCCATAGGGTTTCCAAGGAGTAGCTGGTGGATTCGGACCGCCGACCTTTTGGTTAGCAGCTGTAGCTCTTAACCATTGCGCTACCAGGGCTCATTTGGTGCAGAAGCAGAGGGTAAAACTGCTGGCACCTTAGCATAAATCAAAGCAGTCACACCAAATGCTGTATTCGTCATATTCTTCACTACTGTCACTCGCAGTAAAAATAATGCCAGTTTCACTTAAGAATATCCTTTATCAGGCATTAAGAATTACTAATTTTATTATGTCTAATATCATTTTTAACATTCTGTCTGACGAAATGGGAAGTACACGTAAAGCACTTCTGCTGCATACCAAAGTACAGTGGTTGATTCAAGGAAAAGTGTTTCTGCACTTGTTTGAGTTGTGGGTAAAAGTAGTTCCTTTTTTCATAGAACATCATTTTTACTTGAAGGAATGACAAACTATGGCTATTCAGACTTGGTTATTTAGCAGATACTTTCTCAAAAACAAACACAGTGAGCCTGCCACTTCAAGTTGTCAGTATTTGTTGCCAATGATAAAAACTGAGCTGTCAAGTGAAAACTAGAATTTTGGAAAACTTGTAACCACTATGGTAAGCTTGAGAGTTTACCAGTACTTTAAAGACTTTTCTAATGAGATTGGTGGTGATATTAATAAATGTGATTTCTGATATCTTACCATAAAATGCGTCAGCGTTTGGAACATCTGCATGACTCAGTGAACTAATATTTTCCCAGTGATCAATGCAGGAACTTGCAAAACCATACACAGATAATTCATTCAAAGTGCAAAATGAACCAGTGAATTTTAAAGGGAACACGGTATGGAAAGTTCATTGATGATTTCAGATTACAGATTGCAACTAAACATTGAGAAATGACTACTTGCTGTATTTTTATGTAGTATCAAAGAAGAATGTCTACAATTATCTGAAAGGGTTATTAAAATAGTCCTCCCCTTTTAAACTACTTATGTCTGGGAGTCAAGATTTTCTTCATATTCTTGAACCAAAACAACATATTGCAGCAGATTAATGCAGAAGCAGATATCTTCCATTCAGCTGAATGTTAAAGAGTTCAAAAATATAAAACAGTGCCACTTTTCACACTAAATTATTTGTGTTTTTGAAAGTAAAGGTTTTTTCCCACTAAAATATTTTTATTAATATGGAATGTGTTGATTATGGTTTTTAAAAAATGAATTAATACATTAGAATTTTTTCCCAGTTTTCTAATTTAGTAAACATCGATAGATAAAACTCATATAAATAAAAGCTTTTTGGGGTCCTCTAACTTTTAAGAGTGTAAAGAGATCTGAGGCCAAAAAGTTTGTGAACTGCTGGTTTATAGTTTTATTAGCTTAGATTTCTGCACACAACATACTTGCTTCAACAGGCATTGTTTTCTTTCCTTTATTGAGTGAGGTCTCTAAAAACCAGTGACCTAGTTGTTAAACTCAGCAGCCTAATCTCAGTCTTCTTTGTGACCTCGGCAGCATTTGATGTTGCTAGCTTTTTTTAAAAAATTAAAACTCTCCTTTGACTTCTCTAATACAGCTTTTTCCTAGTTTTCCTTGTATGTCTCTTAAGTCAATTTCTGCTTCCCTAAACCTGGCTTCTTCTCTATATTCCTTACTTTGTATGTGGCATAAACTTCTTTCTAGAACCCAAGCTAGAACTATCATCTCACCTTTGATTCTAACTCACTGTCATCCCTTGTATCCAGTATTCCTCAGTTGTCATATTGAGATACAATTTGAGGTATCTCAAATCCTATCTCCTTTTTCTGATTTATATAGCCATAGTTTGGAAGCCCTCATAATTTCTCTGATGGGCTGTTGGACAGGTTGGTCTCTCCTCCTTCAGAATGCTGTTAATAGTATCTTCATTATCTTTCTGAACCATATCTGATTATGTTGGTCCCCTTAATAAGGAAAGAAAATTGAAGTCTGTCCAGTGACTACTGAATAAAGCTCCTGAGCATGGAACTCAAGGCTTTAATAATCTATCATTAAAGTACTTTCCTAGCTTCATTTTCTGCTGCTTGTCCCAACCAATTCTATGCTGTATCCATGCTCAAGTACTTTTATCAGGTGGTACTTCTTAAAAAAAACCCTCAGGCATTACCTCCTTTTCCCCCTTCCCACTGTCATATTGATTATATTTATATCTATAATCCCAGAGAATCACAAGATGGTGCAGAACTGTCCACATTTCATTCTGTCATACATAAGGTGGTTGAGTCGGAATGACTCGACAGCAGCTGACAACAACAATCACCGTATCATAGTATAACTGTCTAGATACTTATCTGCCCAAAAGAGCAGGGGCTATCTTCTTTACTTTGCTATTCCCAGAAGCTTGCAAAGTATCTGGAATCTTGCAGGCATTTAAAAATTTTTGAATTGAAGGTCCTTCACATTTGATTATTGATATTTGATACCTGGCATTGCCTTTCTGATAATTTTCAAGACCATATGTTTAAAAATATTATCAGACTATTTTGTTCATAAGTTATAGGAATATATTAATTGTTTTAGCGTTATTTCAGAGGTTGATATTGTATACGAATACTTTAGCATTTTAAGGTACAACTTTGGAGTGTTGTATGTTTATTACTTTTCTCGTTTATAGACACATATTTCAGTCTTGTAAAGACTATATACTACCTTAGGTAGTATAGCTAAAAATGAAAAGTATTTCTTGACTAAGGTAAACTAACGAAGTCTTGAAAGATTTCAGCATGTTATAAACTATATTCTAAATTTTAAGTTCTCTGTTCAGTGATTTTTTTTTTTAAGATAGTTGACCTTGAGGACCTGTCAAAAACTAAAATACACTATGTGTCCACAATCAACACACATGGAAGCAGCAGTCATGAAATCAAATGATGCATTGCATTGGGGAAGTCTGCAGCAAAAGACCTCTTTAAAGTGTTAAAAAGCAAAAATGTCATCTTGAAGACTAAGGTGCGCTTGACTCAAGCCATGATGTTTTCAGTCGCCCTATATGCATGCGAAATCTGGACAGTGAATAAGGAAGACTGAAGAAGAATTGACGCCTTTTGAGTTATGGTGCTGGTGAAGAATATTGACTCTACCGTGGACTGCCAAAATTTATGATGTTGGCGAAGAATATTCACTATACTATGGACTGCCAAAAGAACAAACAAATCTGTCTTGGAAGACGTACAGTCAGAATGCTCCTTAGAAGGAAGGCTGACAAGAGTGTCTCATTTACTTTGGACGTGCTATCAGGAGGCATCAGTCCCTGGAAAAGTACATCATACTTGGTAAAGTAGAGGGTCAGCGAAAAAGAGGAAGACCCTCAATGAGATGGATTGACACAGTTCCTGCAACAGGGGACTCAGGCATAACAATGATTGTGAGGATGGCACAGGACTGGGCAGTGTTTCATTCTGTTGTACATAGGGTTGCTGTGAGTAGGAACTCACTTGACGGCACCTAACAATAACATCACTTTTTGGTATTTGAGATTTTTAATGAAAAATAGTTTAGCATTCAGATTTTGCATTTGTTTGAACTGTACTGAATTTAAAATTAATTCAGAACTAACTAATTTAGTTGTAATTAAAATGGATCTAATTTTTATCTTATCACTAAGACAATAGTGTCATTTTTCTATAAATTTGTTACTTTTAAAGATAAATCATATATGCACGTTGTTGTTAGGTGCCGTCAAGTCATTTCTGACTCCTGTGTCTTTATGAAACAGCTACCACTTTTTTACTGGGTATAGCCTCTCTTTCTCATTCTCTTTGTATATATGTATATATATTTGTGTGTGTGCATGTGTGTGTATGTGTGTGTGTTTTCTTTTTAAAGAAATTGCTATTTTTTGAGCTGATAGTTATATAACTGAAGTAAGATTTCAAAAGACTAAAATAATCACTTGCTTATGAAATAGTTGGGGCCCTGGTAGTACAGTGGTTAAGAACTCGGCTGCAAACCAAAAGGTCGGCAGTTTGAATCCACCAGTTACTCCTGTAGTTCCATTCTGTCCCATAGGGTTGCTATGAGTGCGAATCGACTTGACGGCAACGGGTTTTTTTTTTTTTTTTTTATGAGACACTTACGTAGGATGGTTTGGATTATTCAGTTTATATACGTATTTAGTACTTAAATCATCCCAGAAACCATCTTTTTGGAGAATAAAACGATTTTATAATAGGGCTAAATGAAGTTTAATGTTTGTTCCTTAAGTCACTTAATTGGTTATATTGGTAGTAATCCTCAGTATGTTACTCAGTTGTTTTTTTTAATTTGTAAAAGGGGTTGTTAAAAAGATTAAACTAATTCCTGTAACACATAGTAAGTATTCAGTAACTGGTATGTTAAAGTATGTATTTGAAGCAATACTTATAATTTATTACCACCAAATTAAGTTTTAGTTTCTGTTGATGGTTTTTGAAACTAGACATTCAGTAAAAATAATATATTTAAATTATTTAACACTGTGTAGTGCTTTTCTGTGTTCAGAATGCTTTCCTACATATCCTTCCATGTGTTCATAAAACCACCCTACACGGTTATGAGAAAGAGAATCATCTGGGCATGGAGTTAGTATTAGAGCCTAGATTGAAATCCAGGTTGTTTGACTGGGTTGATAATTGTCTTCTCTCCCTTCTATCTTTGATAAAGAGGTTTATAAAACATCCTAGATTTGGGTGGAAGGTTCCTTTGCTTATTCATCTTGCCTTCAGGGTTAGCTAAAGGTCACCGTACTTGGTAAAAAGATTAGCATTCTATGGGGTAGTGCTCTGAGTCAGAATCAACTTGATGGCAGGGGGTTATGGGGTGGAGTAGTCAAGTTTTTATTCAAGGATTTAATGAAACTACGATTTTTAAAAATACATATTTTCCTTAAAAGTTTTTGTTTATAGCTTGTAATTTTAGTGGCATTATGAGTATATAAAATGTTACTGTGACTTTGAAAATAAATTATTAATTTAACAAATATTTATTGAATACTTACAAAGTTTTGTTTATTGGATTTCATGGTTATATGACCTGATTGATATTCATCTGTTTTAAAAAAAATTTAGCGTGTATTCTATTCTCTAATATTGTTCATTTTGGAAAATTAGAGAATTGCTGGGAATTTTAGAGCTGGAGGGAACCTTTCAAGAGCTTCCAGTGTGTTTATTTCCTGAGACAGGGTAGTTTTTGTTACTTGAAAGCTTAGTGGTAGAGGGATGAGAGAGTCTTCAGAGGGAAGATCTTGATGGGGTTGGGGTGGAGATGTTGGTATTAAAACTTTTGAAATGGATTGAGGCCATTGTTTTTTGTAAACCTTGTTAGGATTTTCAGCTAAGTTTGGAGGATTCTCATTGTGGTACTGTCTTAAGAGAAACAGCAGGTAATGCTTTGCAGTCTACAGGGGGTGGGCTTTTCTGATTGTTGGAACTTATGGCTCTAGTCCAGGATCCTCTTGATGGCAAGAAAACAGGCCTGGGAAGATTGTGATTTGTTCAAGGTCAGTAGCTGGTTAGTGTCAGATTCAGATATCTGGATTTCCAGTATATTCTCATTACCTTAGACCTGGTAGTAATACTTCTGAAAAATCAACCATTGAAAACTGTATGGAGCACAGTTCTACCCTGGCACACATGGAGTCACCATGATTTGAAGTCAACTCGATGGCAACTTTTTTTTTTTTAGTTACTGTGCTATGGTAGCATTTAAGTTTACTAGCAAGTAACTTCTTAAGGATTTCTTCGTGTGATTTTCATTATACCTAGATCTAGTGCTGTGCATCTTAATAACTTTTAACATTAAACAAGTACTTATAAATAATATAAAAACATATTGGAATCTGGGCTAGCAGCATAGTGAATGAAGAACAAAGTGTCAGTTATTTTCTGTGTTAACTAATGTTTTTGAAGTGCGAATGTTAACAAACTTCATTTAGATATCTTTTATAGTAACATTTATTGTGCTGTATATCTTGATTTCTTTGATACTACAGTATTTCTTAGAAGAAAAATCCCAGAAAATATTATTTTCCTCCTTTGTTTGCAATATTAATACTAAGAATCACTAATAATATAATTTAATAATATGTATGTGTGTATGAATAACTTGTGTACGTGATAAAAAGTTTGTACGGCCTCTGACAATTTCTAGACATATATGTTAAACCACTTCATCTTTGCTTGTTTCATAGTCTGATCAGGGTTTTTTTTTTTTAACCATAATAAGTATCATGCATCACTTTTATAGAATATGCTAGGAACGATCAGCCTACAACAGCAGCAAGTAGATGGCATTTGATTCTAAAGAAGTAGCTGTTTAAGAGGTAGAGCTTTAGGTGCATTTGCAGGTATAAGGCAAAGTTGTTTTCGTCTTCTTTCATCTTTTGCATCCCTTCTTGCTATTTATCTTTTGTCTTCACAGCCTCAAACTCTCCTTATTAATATTCAGACCTAGCCTGCCTTGTGAATTCCTTAATCATCTTTATTCCAACAATTGATCCTTTACTAGAATATGTTTTATGTTTTATATAAATCTGAATAAAGTAATTGTTTCAAGCGTGAATGTAAATAACCTGTTCATGGCGGATAGCGTTTTATTTTTTTTCCTTAAGATAATAACTCTCTTTCTGGTGATAGAAATATTACATGTTCACTGAAGATACTGAAGAAGTATAAGGAAGAAAATAGGAACGCCCATCATCATAACATCTTTGCAGTTAGAGGTAGCTACATCTAAAATATTGTTGTGTTTCTTTTCAGTCTTCTATGTATGGATATTTACATTTAAAAATGGAACTTGATATGTCTCTCATTGGAACAGTGGGAGAAAAAAGGAGTCTTTTAGTCAAGGAAGTTCTCTGACTTGATCACTTTTAAACAAATAATTTCTTTTATAAGGATCAGCACAAAGCTGTTGCTATGGGATGGAGGTTAAAGATGTCCCAAATGTCCAACTTTTTCAGCTACTGCATGGGTGAAAGATGTGACAGTCTGCTTCCATAAAGATTTACAGTCTTGTAAGTCCTATGCGGCAGTTCTTCTCTGTCCTATAGGGTCGCTATGAGTCAGAATCGATTTAATGGTAGTGGGTTTGGTTTGTTGGGTTATGGCACATAGTAAGAGTTCAATAAATGTTAGTTAATAATAATGATAATAATTGTAATAATAGTAATTAAAAAAACTTCATAGTAATAAAAATTCTCAATGCCTGTCACTGTGTCTTGCCTAGGTACTCATAACGTTTAACTGAACCACAAAGGTTCTTTATCATTTGTCTGACTCTACTTTTGCTTTAACCTATTTTCCACTTCTTACTGTTTAAAGACATTTCATATAATTTCATGACCCTGTGGGTTAGATGAGATAATTTAATGATACCCATTTTACTTGATAAGAGAATTTAAGTCCACCTAAGTTTTTTTGCATTTTAGGTTACCTGTATGCTCAGTTTTTTCAGCAGTGTTTAAATTGTTTTGCTCTGCCCTTAATATGATGAACGATTGAAACCACACTTGAGAGCATTTCATCCTGTCTCATCTCATGATTAATTGCTGAATGAATTTTAGCTAGAGGCAAGAGACCATTGAGTGGAAACCACTGTAATAGTCTAAGTAAGAGACCGTATAGTAGTGGCTGAGCAAGGGTAATGCTAGTAGTGTTGAGAGAGAAATGAATGGATTATAGATACGTTTAGGAGAAAATTTATAGGGCTTGGTGGTTGATTGGATGGGGTTGTGGGAAATGAGGAGTTGGGTTGTGTTGTTTTTGTTAGGTGCCGTTGAGTCCATTTTTGACTCAGAGAGATCCCGTATGACAGAGCAGAACTGTCCTGTAGGGTTTTCTAGGCTGTAGTCTATGGGAGCAGATTGCTAGATCTTTCTCTTGCAGAGCGGCTTGGTAGGTTTGAACTGCCAGCCTTTCAGTTAGCAGCTGAGCACTTAACCTTTGCCACCAGGGCTCCTTAAGTTAGGTTGCAGAGAGGAAGAAATCAAGGATGAATCCTAGGATTCTGGCATAATTAAGCAGCTGGGTGAATGAATGGTGATACTTCTCACTAGATAGCAAATAGGAGGAAGGGTGGGTTTTGGGAAGGTGATAGTTTTTTAGATTTGTTGAATTTCAGGTGTCAGTGGAAAGTCTGAGAGGGGAGATCTGTTAGGCAGTTGCATATGTGGGGCTAGAACTTAGCAAAGAGAGCAGGGCTATAAGTACGTATTTGGTGTAGTCATCAGCATACGTGATTGAGTTGAAGACACCGAAGTGGGTAAGTTAGGTTTGGGAGAAAATATACTACATAGTGTGAGAAAAGAGATCCTAGGACAGAAACTTGAGAGAAACATGACTATTGTTCATGGTGGTAAAAGAGGAGGAAAATAAATGGAGGTGGAAAAAAAAAATCAATAGGGAGTGAGAAACCTAGGAGAGCGTAATGTAACAGAAACAGGGAGGAAGATGTTTCCAAAAGGAGGCTGTGCGGTGAGCAATGTCAAATGATTTTTACTTTGATCAGACAGAATCTTAATTTTCCCTCAGGTTGCATGTAATATTTGTTGTAACAGGTGTGGCATTGAAATACATGTTTTAAGTTGTAACAAGATAATACTGCATAGTGCTTATACTAAGCTTTTCATAATAGCTGTGATATTTCCAAATTATACCTATAGGTTAAATAAAGGAGATTACTATTGGTAGGTAGAAAGATGAGTAAAATTTGTTAGCAACTAGCTTTGTTTCCTGAGGAAAAATGCTGTAATTATCGAATATGTCTATCATCATTAAGCCTGTACTTTTAAAGGTGGTTCTTGATTGTAACTATAGAATTTAACAGAATTAATTAAAAAAAAAAAAAAAAGGTTGGGCGCATCTTGTTACCAAGAATTTTTTTAAGGGGTAAGTAAATGTACAGCAATTTTGAGGACTCTTGGAAAATTGCAGAGTTAATTAATTGTGGGGAAGCATGAACGAATAAATAGCACCCTTTACTGATCAGCTAACCAAGCAAATCACAGCACTTAATATAAAACTGTATTTGTTCCATAAAGTGATAGTTATTGGTGGAGTACGCTGGGTTTGATGTAATTTATAATGCTTAAATATTCAAGTTTGATGATTGCTGAATAATAAAATAATTGCAGATTGTATTAAAGAATAACAAGGAGAGTTACTTGAGATATGTGGCCAGGGAGACATCTTAGGGAAAAAAAAATTGCCGTCAAGTTGATTCTGACTCATAGTGACCCTATAGGACAGGGTAGAACTGCCCCATAGAATTTCCAAGGAGCGGCTAGTGGATTTGAACTGCTGACCTTTTGGCTAGCAGCCAAGCTCTTACTCACTGTGCCACCAGGGCTCTACTTCTTTGAGGGGGTGACATTTATGTTGAAAACTGAAAGATAAGGAGGTGTTCATGAAAGAGTTCCAGTTAACAGGAAGCTCAGAGTTTTTTCAATAGGAAAGAGTTTGTTTTACATTGAGCAAAGACTGACTAGCCTGATGTGAGGTATGAGATGAGTAGCATCTGATGAGGCTGGAGAAGTGGGCAAATGCCAGATCACATTTTAGTCATTTAGTCATAAATGATGAGGCATTTAGATTTTATTCTAAGTGCAATGTGAAGTGGTTTAATAGGTTTAAATGTGGAAATGCTATTTAGTTGCTGTGAAGAGAATGGATTAGCAGAAGGCAAGAGTGAAAATAGACTTGTTGGGAGGCTTTATCTTTAGTTAGGTGAAAGATAATAGGCGCATTAATATTTTGACATTGATTCAAAGAGAATGAGTTTGTACCTTACTGTTACTGATATCTTCATGTATGTTTCCATGAAAAAGATCATTAATATGTATGCAGTGAAGACTTTCAAATATGTGGCATTTCATTACTTACAAGCTTTTTACGCACTTTCAAGTTGTTTTGAAATTATTTTAAAATGGGATTATTAACGTGGAGCATGATGAAATGTAATAGAGGCATTGCTATTTAAAAGTTATTTATTAATTGGAAATAAAAAAGGAGTAAGTTTCCCTTCAAAGGAAGGAAAGTGAGATATTTAGAGCCACTCTTTCTTCAGCTATTATAGTAACTTAATCACTGTTGACTTGACACTATTGTTTTAGGTGTTGTTGAGTCACTTCTGACTCATAGAGACTCAGTGCACAACAGAATGAAACCCTGCCTGGTCCTGCACCATCCTCACAGTCACTGCTATGTTTGAGCCCATTGTTGCAGCCACTGTGTGGGTCCACCTCATGGAGGGGCTTCCTCTTTTTCGCTGACCTTCTACCTTACCAAGCATGATGTCATACTCTAGGCACTGGTCCCTCCTGATAACATGTCGAAAGTATGTAAGACGAAGTCTCACCGTCCTCCCTTCTAAGGAACGTTCTGGCTGTACTTACTCCAAGACAGATTTGTTTGTTTTCTGGCAGTCGATGGTATATTTAATACTCTTCGCCATTGTTTTATAAAATCAGTTTTACACACAAAATGTGCACTCATATCAGAGATGGTTATTCAGCATTGATTTGAAAACTAATGCAAGACTTCAGAATCTGGTCAAATTAGTTTTAATATTATAATCAGAAAAGATGCAAAAAGGAAAATAATTACAGGGCTAAAGTTCGACTCCCTTATTTTGACATACTTGTTGGGTTTGTGAGTATTGTTAGCTGTTATTTTTGTATATTAACTCGGATACTAAGTATAAGGGACGTACATGTGATGCTCCTGACATTCTGGGCTAGGATCAGGAAGGTACTTTCTTGAACTAGAAACTGTTAAATATTTGACATTAACTGTCTGTGGAAGTATCTCATTTTAAGATAATGGTTTATAAATGTGGTGCTTAATTAAGGGATTAAGGTATCTGTCAAATCGAATTAGGAAGGTCAAAATATTGTTGAAGATCAAGTAATGTGAATAAGATCTTTAGCGAAAATGACTAGAACATAAAATGGTGTAAAAGAAAAACTGCACAGGAAAACTGCACGAGATTTCAACACTGGACAATTGGTCACTGTTTACTATAGTACAGGAGGTGGTAGATGCTATTTGGCAGTCACTAGAATGCTACTAGAATGGAGCCCTGGTGGCACAGTGGTTGAGAGATTGGCTGCTAACCTAAAGTTCAGTGGTTTGAGCCCACCAGCCACTCTGTGGGAGAAAGATCTGGCAGTCTGCTTCCCTAAAGATTTACAGCCTTGGAAACACTGTGGGACAGTTCTACTCTGTCCTGTAGGGCTGCCGTAAGTCAGAATCGACTCGATGGCCATGGGTTTGATTTAGTTTAGAATGGTACTTTATTCTGAAGTTGGAATAATTCAGGCTTCTTCATCTCTAAAACAACTACATCTTAACACCATCCAGTTTTTAAAAGGTAGTTTGTAGACCCAGTAACCAGTTTCCAGGGTTGCTGCACACTTAGAATGTGTGACTGGTATGCAGTGACTTAGCTCTGTCCAGATATGTTCATACTTGAAGAGGAATGCCCTGGATGATGACATCTGATTTATTAATCAGTTTGGTGGGTTTCGTTGGTATAGTTCAGTCTGAGTCTTACATCCTTTACTTTATCTAGGTAGAATGTTTGGACCTAAAAACCAAGGACCAAATTCAGAGCTGGCTCCCTACCTATTAAGGTACTACTTTCCTATGAGTTCCTTTTTAGGCAGCTATTGGCATTCACTTTACCACTTTAGTTGAATACTAATTACTTTGTAATGCTATCTGTATTAGTTACCTATTACTGTGTAACAAATTACCCCAAAAATTAGTGGATGAAAACAAACATTATTTTGTATTTCCTGTGAGGAATTCAGGAGCAGTTTAGCTGAGTGGTTCTGGCTCAGGGTCTCATAATGCTGCAGTCAAGGGGCAGCTGGAGCTGTAGTCATTTCAAGGCTCAACTGAGGGAATCCACTTCCAGTTCACTCATGTGGTTTTCAGCAGGCCTTAGAACACCTGCTTCCAAGTTACTCACGTGGCAGTTGGCAGACACGTCAGTTTCTTGCCACGAGGGCCTCTCCATAGGGCTGCTTACAACATGGTAGCTTGCTTCCCCCAAAGTACAGAATCTGAGAGAGAGAAAGAGTATGTATGATAGAGCCCTCAAGACAGCAACCACAGTTTTTTTATAGCCTAATTTATATAGCCCACTGTTGTTAGTTTGTTGAGTTTGCCCTTGACTCATGGTGACCCCGCATACAATGGGATGAGACACTTCCAGGTCCTGTGTCATCCCCGTGTTTGGTGCAAATCAGAATATTGTGATCTATAGTTTTCATTGGCTGATATTCAGAAGTAGATTGCCAGGTCTTTTTCTAATCTTAGTCTGGAAGCTCTGCTGAAACCTGTTCAGCATCATAGCAACATGCAAGACTCCACTGACACATGGGTGGTAGCTGTACATCAGGTTATTGGTCATGAATGAAACCCGGGTCTTCTGCATAGAAGGCGATAATTTTACCACTGAACCACAGTGAGAGGCCCATGACCTCTCGTTTTTCTACCAAATTCTGTGCCTTAGTGGTAATCCAGCCCTCATTCAAGGGGAGGGATTACCAAGGGTATGAATACCAGGAGGTGGGGATCGTTGGTGGCCATCTTAGAGGCTGCCCACAACACTATCCTTTAACCAAATGGCTTAAAACTTTCCGTGGTTGTTGCAGAATTCTGTCTTCAAAAGGAAGCTTATGGGGGAAACCTAAAATGTAAAGTAGATAAATGGGGAGCTGTTCTGATTAAAGCAGGGGTTATAGGGAGCCAGAGCCCACCTCAGCACCCCTCCTCTTTCAGCTTTTCAGAACAACTTGAATATTAGTGGAGCCGTGGTGACACAGTTAAGAGCTACAGCTGCTAACCAAAAGGTCGGCAGTTCAAATCCACCAGCTGCTTCTTGGAAACCCCGTGGGGCAGTTCTGCTTTGTCCTATAGGGTCGCTGTGGTCGAAATCGACTCCACGGCAACAGGTTTGGTTTTTGGTTTGGTGAATGTTAGTGTCTTAACCATCAAATGTTAGCCACAAACATGGATATATACTATTTTTCTCATATTTTCATTTTAGAATTTGTCAGTGTTTACAGTCCTAAAATTTTAGCTTTAAAAGTCAGGCATTGGGACTTGGAAAACAATTTATGTGACTGTTTCTGGAAACTGTTTAAGTCCAAGCAGCTTCCTTTTCTAAAGTAAATCTAATGTAATAGCTGATTTTATAGTAGTATTCAAAGATTTAATTTATATACCAAAAAACCCATTGCTGTCGAGTTGATTCGGACTCATAGCAACCCTGTAGGACACAGTAGGGCTATCCTATAGGGTTTCTAAGGCTGTAAATCTTTACGGAAGCAGACTGCCATATCTTTCTCTGAAGGAGCGGCTTGTGGGTTTGAACTGCCAACCTTCATTTAGCAGCTGAGCACTTTAACCCCTGTGCCACCAAGCTCCTTATAATTTATATATTGGCGTGATGTTGGTACTGGTTTACTTGCTAACTACTGTCTAGAATGTTTTGTTAACTATGGCCCAATCACATATATTTTTTAAAAAACTTATGAGTATATAATGGTATTTGTATTTTAATTTTTTTATTAACATGTTCTTGTAGCTCTTTTATGATGAAAACTGTGATTCCTGATATTAACATAAATTACTTATTTGCTTTATCTTACAATATATAGACTATAGTTTCCAAAATAGTAGTACTATTATTAATACAAACTAATCTCTGAGAGCAGTTTAGAATCTCCTTATAGTTCTTTTATCCCTTAGACTGCATCCCACTAAAAATGTACAGAGTTACTTGAGAATAATCCCATTCTGGATGGTTGTATTAACAGTTTGACACATGGTTAGATTCTGGACACTTTCTAAGTGTTTTACTTAAATTAACTCACTTAATGCTTACAACTGCCCTGTGAAGTAAGTTCTGTTGACCCCTATTTTACAGGTGAATATAGTTTGTGTCATCTTGATTTTAGGTTAGTATCCAAACTAGAGGGTGGTGGTGGAAATGAAAGATATCACATTTTTCTGAGCAGTGTTTTTATAAATTCAGATTGACTTTATAGATTCGATTTTTATTAAGGAAACTTGATTTAGTTCTTGATTACTAAAGAGTGCCTTTTTGTGGATGAGCATTGTAATTATTAGAATTCATACAGGATATTTTGAATAGAGCATCCTAATCTGAAATTTCTTTTCTAAACTGTCCTGGTAAAATCCATCTTAGTTGAGTTTATGGCAGGATCACAACAACAAAGCATAGCTTTTGATGCTAGTCTCTAAGGACCCTTTGGTTATCTTAAAATATTTGCACAACATTTTAATTCCTGATTCTAGCAAAATGCTTTTGATTCTATCTTTTTTTTTTTTTTTTTTTGTGGGGAATATACACAGCAGAACATACACTAGTTCAATAATTTCTATATATACAATTAAGTGATATTGAATTATATTCGAGTTGTGCAACCATTCTCACCCCCTTTTTCTGAATTGTTCCTCCCTCATTAACATAAACTCACTGCCCCCTAAGTTTCCTATCTAATCTTTCGAGTTGCTGTTGTCAATTTGATTTCATATCGATAGTTCTTAAAAGAGCACAATAGTCAAGGCAGACATTCTTTACTAATCTAAGCTAAACTATTGTTTGGTTTTCAGAAGACTTCAGGGGTATTTTTGGTTTAAGGTTTAAAGGTTATCTCAGGGCAGTAGTTTAGGAGGTTCATCCACCCTTCATGGCTCCAGAAAGTCTGAATTATATGACAGTTTGAAATTTTGCTGCATTTTCCCCCTTTTGATCAGAATGCTTCTGTAGAGTCTTTGATCAAAATGTTAAGTAATGGCAGCCAGGCACCGTCTAGTTCTTCTGGTCTCATGGCAAAGGAGACAGTTGTTCCTGGAGGCAGTTAGCCACACATTCCATTTCCTCCTCCTTTCCCTATTTTATTCCATTTTAAATTCATAAGACCTGAGCCTTAATGGACAATGCATTTGCTACAAATAAAAATTGGAGATTATTATTTAGTTTTTAATGACATCTTTTATACTAGTTTATAGCATTAGGGTAAAATACTTGGATTATTACTTCTGTTCATCTTTTTATCCATATAAACATGTAAGATCTTTGTGCCATGCACGTAATATTCAGTGAATAAAAGTTAATTAGGAATCTTTGTAGATGTCCCCTTTTTGGTACTTATTTATGTATTAGAATTACAAATGGAGGTCTCTGGAGTACCTTTGTTTGAATGAATGGGTAATTTAAAACACTAAAGCACCTATTAAATAGGAATCTAGCATATGGGTGCTGTCAACCTTTACTGAATAAAAATATTACCTCATAACATTGAAATGTAAGATTTTCATTGAATTAAACATTTGCAATTTATTTTTGTTAAATAATAATTTTATAGTCCTTTTAATCGTATTTACTCTTAAAACAAAGAAATAGCTATATACTTTCTTAACTTGTTTCCATAGAATGAAGAGCCGTGAAACCATAGTTTCTTGAAGGTAGAGGATGGTTGTTGAGGAGCATAATACTAAAGGGAGATGTATTACTGAAACATATCTGGATCTTTAACAGGAACTAGTGTTTGAAGTCATTGCTGCAGACATTAAAATGAACATGTGCCTGGTTAACATGTTAACATGTATTAAGTTAAATGTAATAGAATATCTTCATGTGAGCTTGAAGATAAAATTCTGTTGAGCTTTTTTTCTCTTTTGGTTGGAACTATTTTAATGTCCATTTTTAGATGATTATTTTAAAAGTGTAACACAGTATCAGAACTATTACTTATTGCTTTCCTTTGTTTGTACAGGTATTTAAATTAAAGTCAGCATTATTATTTCTCAATAGCCTGACATACTTTTATGTGTGTGTGATTTGTTTGTTACAGTGATAAATGGTATTTTAAAGACTTACTGGTGATAAATGGGAATTGTATTAATGCTTTTTGTCTTGAAGTCTTATAGATTGTTAGCCCTCTGGGCAGTGGTGGCATTTATACCAAAATTTAGTGAATGTTGATGACAATGGCTAGTTAAGAAATGGCAGATTTTGATCAACTAATTATCCTTGTACTAATATTAAAAAATGATAGTGTTATTTCACTGAAATGGAGGAATAGTGTGATAGAAGATATTTTTGTGTATTAAAATATAACTGCCATTACAGTGGAAATTTAAAAATGAAACCATTCAAATCATTTTCTTTGTGTTTCTGATAATACTAGAAGTTGCTGTTGACATTGTGGTTAGCAAATTGTGTTCTGTACTTTGGTGCATGTGTTTATAGCTGTATGGTGAATTTACAACTCTTTCTCTTGTAGTTCTACATGTAATAATAATCTCAAATAAAATTACATAATCTTTTTATTCTGATAGAGAAGAAAAAGCTGGATCACTTACCAGTAACTGGAGTTCTCCTATTGGGTAATCTCCACAGATCCACATTCTTTGAAGTTATTGTGAATGCCTTGAGGACCAAGGAACCGTTGAAATTTCCAATTTCAGGAAGGTAAGCAAGTGCACTGAAGCATGTCTGTAGCATCTCCCAAATCCCCTCCCCCCAACTTTCTTACATAAACGTCTGTACTGCATGCCCCCTCAGTTCCAGTGGATGCCCATCAGGAAGATTCTGATGTTGGACAGAAGGACAAGAGAGGTGGATCTGTGAGGGAAAAGACCCAATAGGATAACTCAAGTTACTGGTAAGTAATTCACTTCTCATAAACTTGAGATTTTTTCCTCCAATTTCTTCTTTTTGGAAGGAGTTTGTTTAATTACAAAGGAAGGAAGTGGTTTGGGATAGCTTCTTTTTGTAAGTTTCATATAGATTATGGAATTTATTATGTAGATGATAAATACCTAAGTTGTTAATGAATATATGAATAAATTAATTTTAGTATATTTAGCTTTTAGTGTGTTATCATTTATATAACAGTTGTTCCTAAAAAATTATATGTTCATTGACTTTTGGTAAATAGTGTAATGGTTGTAAAGCAATGTAGGGAAGCTGTATGTTGGAATCTTTTATAAATTCCTGTATTTTGTGATATTCTGTTGACATAAATACTTGTAAAATTTATGCATGTGCCAAATTTAGTCAAATTCTTTTGCATGTTGGTGTTTGAACAGCAAGAATAGTTTTTCATTAATTGACTAGTACTTCTTAATGACATAGTTTTCATTGTACTTTTTAACTTCATTGATGGTATATTTGAAAAATAATTTAAGGTATATTCCAGTTATAGTTACCACTTAATTATTCAGAATGGATGGGCTTATTGATGTGAAATGTGGCAGAATTGGTTCAGTCTGAACTCTGATTCCTCAGGTATCAGATTATTGAGCCGCCATATAATATTACAGTTAGAGTTCCTTGCTTCTAGTTTCTCTCTCACTTATTCTGCATGGTTACCAGCTTACTATTTCTAAAACGTCACTTTTAGAACATAAAGAGCTGATAATGGTGCCTTGGTATAGCTGTTTTATAAAATTTGAGTTCGTTTGTTGGTCCAGTTAAGGCATCTCATAATCCAATCCCATTCTTTTTATTTAGCCTTAATTTTTCCAGTTTGAACCTTTTGTTCCTTTTATCTAGATAATCGTCATATTTTTGCATTGGATTGTACTTTTTTATGTTCTTGAAATGTTCTTTTCTACATTCTACTTTTCTGTATTTTAAGACTGAGGCCAGGTTCTGCCACTCCCATAAATCCTTTTATGGTAACATCTGTTTTCTATGTTTTCTTAGTGGAAAAATTGGAATGGTGGTAAGGATTGAATGAATTAATCCATGTAAGGCACTTAGAAGAATGCTAAGCAGCACGTAGTAAACACTCTTCTTGGCTATTTATTTGAATGCAGATTGATCATAAACATACCTGTGTCTGTAGAAATAATACTTGTCAGTATGACACAATTTAGTCTTTAAATATTAGCTTCAGGTTGTACTACTATTTCTTCTGATGTAAAACTCAAGCTGAGTTGTAAACTGGGCTTTGAACCTGTTCAATCCAGTTCCAGCCCCTGCTGAGAGTTTGCATTTCCACCCCAGATACACTGAATTTGAATCTACATTTTAGCAAGATCCCCAGGTGATTCTTCTATTATAATATTTATTCCATAATAATTTTTTTATTGCGTTTTAGATGAAGGTTTACAGAGTAAATTAGTTTCTCATTAAACAATTAATACACATATTGTTTTGTGATATTGGTTTTCAACCCCACAACGTGTCAGCGCTCTCCCCTTCTCAGCCTTGGGTTCCCCGTTACTAGCTTCCCTGTCCCCTCCTGCTTCTCGTCCTTGCCCCTGGGCTGGTGTACCCATTTAGTCTTGTTTTGTTTATGGGCTTGTCTAATCTTTGGCTAAAGGATGAACCTTAGGAGTGACTTCAGTACTGAGTTAAAAGGGTGTCCAGTGGCCATGCTCTTGGGGTTTCTCTAGTCTCTGTCAGACCAGTAAGTCTGGTCTTTTTTGTGAGTTAGAATTTTGTTCTACATTTTTTCTCCAGCTCTGTCTGGGACCCTCTATTGTGATCCCTGTCAGAGGAGTTGTTGTTGGTAGCTGGGCATCATCTGGTTGTGTTGGACTCAGTCTGATGGAGGCTGTGGTAGTTGTGGTCCATTAGTCCTTTGGACTAATCTTCCCTTGTGTCTTTTGGAACTAATCTTTCCCTTGTGTCTTTGGTTTTCTTCATTCTCCCTTGCTCCAGATAGGGTGGGACCAGTGGAGTATCTTAGATGGCTGCTCACAAGCTTTTAAGACCCTAGAGGCTACTCACCAAAGTAGAGTGTAGAACATTTTCTGTATAAACTATGTTATGCCAGTTGAGCTAGATGTCCCCCAAGACCATGATCTCCAGCCCTCAGCCCAGTAACTCAGTCCATCAGGGAGTTTGGATGTGTCTTTGAAGTTTCCATGACCTTGCCTTGATCGAGTTCTGCTGACTGCCCCAGTATTGTGTACTGTCTTACCCTTCACCAAAATTACCAATTATCCATTGTCTAGTTAGTGTTTTCCCTTCCCCACCCTCCCCTTCCTCGTAACCATCAAAGATTGTTTCTTTCTGTGTATAAACCTTTTCATGAGTTTTTATAATAGTGGTCCATACAGTATTTGTCCTTTTGTGATTGACTTATTTCACTCAGCTTAATGCCCTCCAGATTCATCCATAGTGTGCGATATTTTGCAGATTCATCATTGTTCTTTATCATTGCATAGTACTCCATTGTGTGTATGTACCATAGTTTATCTGTTCATCTGTTGATGGACACTTAGGTTGTTTCCATCTTTTTGCTATTGTGAATAATGTTGCAGCGAACATGGGTGTGCACATGTCTATTCGTGTGATGTCTCATTTGTCTAGGATATATTCCTAGGAGTGGGAATATCCTATAATAAATTTTAAGAACCACTGCTCTGCTAGTTGTTCTCAGAACTGGTCCCTAACCAGCAGCATTAGCATCGCCTGGGAACTTGTTAGAAATGCAAATTATCAGCAGGGATTCAAACTGGAACAAACCAGTCAAAGCCTGGTTGTAAGCTTGTCGAGAGCAGAGATAGGATTTTATCTTTTTATGTTACTCAGTTCATGACATCAGTAACTGAGATTAAATTGTATCTAGTACAAAATTTGTTTTTCATGTAGATTCATAAATACGCTTACCTGTAGTTTTTTCCGTTTATAAAAGAGGTTCATTTGACTCATCAATCCTATTTGTTTTGTATTTTTTTCTTAAAAAATATCTTTACTCCCTTACAAACAGGTACAGCCCATTGCCATTGCTGTTGAGTCGATTCTGACTCATAGTGACCCTATAGAACAGGGTAGAACTGCCCCATAGGGTTTCCAAGGAGCATCTGGTTAACCTTTTGGTTAGCAGCCGTAGTTCCCCGTAGCTCTTAACCACTGCACCACCAGGGCTTCACAAACAGATATAGTGAAGTTATAATTGTTTAGTGTAATATAAACTTCTGTGGCACATAAAAAAAGAGAGCATGTAATTTTGAGAGAGTCAGTTAGAATGGCTTCACTTTAAAACTGCTGTATAGTGCTAGAAAACAAGCTGGAAATTCAGTTTACTTGATGTTTGAGGTTCGAATATCTTAGCTCTTTGCTTGATTATCAGAAACCCTTGTCTTTAAGAATACCAGTTCAGTGAAGCATTAAATGAAATCTAATTTCAAGGTCATCGAAGGAAGGAAAATGCCCTTTTGACAGTTTGTCATTTCTAATAATCTCCAGAGAACCAATTCAGGTCCAGTAGTTGTACAAGGCATGACAAAGAACATATAATTAGATGACTTGAGTACTAATTTTGAATCTGCTGCCATCCGTGTACATAAGAGACTATTCAGTCTCATAGTTTCTGTGGTGTGATAATGGTATGGTGGTTATATTGAGAATGTCCTTATTCTTAGGAGCTACATGTTCAGTATTATACGTTCAACTTTTCTGTCACTTTGAAATTTTTTTTAAAAAAGTTGGGAGAAAATTTTTTTTTTAAAAACTATTGTTGTGCTTCCATTTCTCTAATCCTGAAATGGGAATAATTGAACCTGTTCTTCTCATACCTCGGTACAGATAGACACAGTTTGGGATAACATTTGGCAGAATAGCAGTCAAGAGAACTCTCAACAAGTAGTTTTCTTTTTTTTAAACAAACATTAAAGAAGAGCTTATAATGGAGAATTTTTTCAGGGAACATTTTACTTAAAGGTGTTTTAACTTAAAATATATCTATTCCCTTTATTAAGAGTACTTTGTAGTATAATTGAATACTCATTTAAGAAACAATAAATACATCTAGATATATAAAATAACCGGTTGAAATCTTTAAAATAACAAATACAGCTAGTTATAAAAGAACTCAATAAACGGGTGCAATAGATTAGACACAACTCAAGGAAGAAGTTGTTTATTTGAAGATAAAACTAAGAACTCTTCCAGAACACAGCACAGAGAGGTACGGAGATGAAAAATATGAAAGAAAAGCTAAGACACTTAGAGGGTAGATTGAGAACCTCTAACATATGTCTAATTTGAGTTCCAGAAGAGAAAATATAGACAATGGGTGAAGAAACAGTTTTAAAGAAATAATGACTAAGAATTTTCAAGAATTAAAAAAAATAGAAATTTAAAAAATAACAATTTTGGTTTTATCTAAACTTGAGGGATGCAACAAAATTGGTACTTAGGTTTGATGAGTACCATCTGGGTCTTCAAAGCTTGCGAGCAGCCATCTAAGATAAATCTTTTGGTCCCATCCTGTCCGGAGCAAAGGAGGATGAAGAAAACCAGAGACACGAGGAAAATATTAGTCTGAACGACTAATGGACCACATGAACCACAGCCTCCACCAGCCTAAGCCCAGAAGAAGTAGATAGTGCCCACCCACCACCACCAGCCACTCTGACAAGGATCACAATAGAGGGTCCCAGGCAGAGTGGGATAAAAATGTAGAGCAAAATTCATATTCACAAAATAGACTTATTGGTCTGACAGAGACTGGAGGAACCCCCGAGACTATGGCCCCCAGATACCCTTCTAACTCAGAACTGAAGCCACTCCCAAAGTTCACCTTTGAGCCAAAGATTAGACAGGCCTGTAAAACAAACAATAACACATGTGAGGAATGTGCTTCTTAGTTCAATCAAGTATACAAAACCGAATGGACATCAGCTGCCCAAAAGCAAAGACAGAAGGCAGGAAGGGACAGGAAAACTGGACAAATGGAAAAGGGGAAACCTGGATGGAAAGGGGAAGAGTGCTGACACATCACGGGGATTGCAACCAATGTCACGAAATAATTTGTGTATGGATTTTTGAATGAGAAACTAATTTGCTCTGTAAACTTTCCCCTAAAGCACACACACACACACACACACACACACACACACACACACACACACAAATTGGTATCTAGGGGTAAATTTATAGCCTGTAATGCATATATTAGATTATAAAATTGAAAATAAATTATCCTGAGATTCAACTAGAAAAATGAAAAAGGAGAGAAAGTAAACCAAAGAAAGAAGCAAGAGAAAAAATAAAAAACAGAATTTAGTGAAATGGAAAATAAACACCAAATAGAGGCAATCAACCAAATTAAATCAGATTCTTTTGAATTGATTAAATTCTGGCAGTACTCATCAAGAAAAACAGAGATGACACAAATAAGATTTATCATCTAAAGTACAATTAAAAAGTTTAAAAGGAGGCATAACTGAAAATACAATAGTGATTTTAAAAAAATCACGAGATTGTCATCAATTTGTATGTAATGCTAGATGAAATGCTGTTTTCTAGAAAAAATATTTCTAATATTGACTGTAGAAGAAAAAGAAAATCATAGGAACCAAAAACCATTAAAGAAATTGAAACTCTTGTAAATTTCCCCCAAAGGAATAGTTGTTCTTTTTAAAAACAATTTTATTGAGATATACAGGCAGTCCCTGGATTGGCAAGAGTTCCATTCCTATGTCTGTCTGTAAGTCGAAACTGTATGTAAGTCAGAACAGTTAGGTATGGTTCGTATCTAACTTCAGTTAGTCAAATGCTTGTCTTAGTATGTAATATATAGTGTACCTTTGTATGGATAAAAAACCAGTAAAGAAACACTTCCAGACATATTAAAAGATCTTTAACATAATAATACAGTAATGATAATAATGTTTTGATGCCTGTCTGAAAGTAGTGCCCGTTCATTGTTAGGAACCATTGTATGTACCTTGAATTTTTAATATAGTAGACTTTGCAGAGTTGGTTCATAACTATGGGTTGTACATAAGTTGGATATTTGTAACCCGGGAACTGCCTGTAATTCACATATGCAATTTATTGGTTTTTAGTATATTCACAAATCTGTGCAACCGTCACCACAGTCAACTTGAGTACATTTTCATCACCCCAAAAGAAACCCTGTAGAGATTAGCACTCATTCCCAGTTCCCCACAACCCCTCTAGCCCTAGGCAACCAGAATCTACTTGTTTCTATAGATTTGCTTGTTCTGGACATTTCATATAAAGTTGTACAATATGTAGTCCCTTATGGCTTCTTTGATTCACCATAATGT